CTCAGATGGAGGAAAACGAAAATATCTTGTCACTAAGAGATGTATCTTTAGGAGATTCTCCTGAAGAAGGTTCTCCAAGCAAAAAGGAAATGATGAATAAATAAGGTTAATGTCAGTAAAGAAAGAACAACAGAATGCATACAAGTAGTGGTAAATATAATGGAAAATTCTTCTCATGCATTTCTTAAATCATATTTAGTGGCTGAAGTAAAAGTGATAACATTTGATGTTCTGTTCAATGTACACAGGAAATACAAAAATTATATTAAAGAAGTAGAAAGGGTAAAAGGATCTAAATGGAAGAAAGGTTTTTACATTCCACTTGAAGTGGTGTGGTATAAGTCAATACAAGCAGACTATGTGATAAGTTATTATGTATATTGTTATACCTAGAGTAAGCACTAAAAAAGTATACTAAGCAATATACTAGAAAACACTGTAAATAGTCAAGTAGAATTCTAAAAATATTCAAGTAACCTACAGGAAGGTAGAAAAAGAGAAACAGAAATGAAAAATGGGGGAAATAAACAAATTTTAAAATGGCTGACCTAAGCCCTAAGATACCAGTAATTACTTTAAATATAAATGATATATCAGTTAAAAGACAGAGATTGGCAGGACAATTTTTATTCCTTAAAGACACAAGTATATACTGTCCATAAGAAATTCACCTAAAACAAAATGACAAAATGACACTGGTAGGCTGAAAATAAAAGAATGAAAATATATGTTATGCAACATTATTTTTTTAAAAAGTTATAAAATAATGTTATATCATTTTAATAAAATGGCTATATTACTATTAAAGTAGACTTCAGAGTAAAAATAATTATGGACAAAGATAAAAAGATTAATTAATCAAGAAAACATCTTAAATGTATATACACCAAACAAGATATTCAAAATACAAAGTCAAAACCAACAGAACTAAAAGAGGAAACAGAAAGATCCACAATTATAGTTGAGACTCTCAGTAGCAAACAGAACTATCAGACAATCAACAAGGTACAGGAATCAGAACACCACCATCAACAAAAAGTATGTAATCAACAAATATAGAACATTGCACCCAGCAATAGCAGAATACATATTTTGTTTAAGCGCCCATGGCAAGTTGCCAAGATATACCATACTCTGTCATAAAACAAACCTAAATTTAAAAAACATTTTAAAATCACACTTTTTATTTTCTGATCCCTGTGTAATAAAAAAACTAGAAATCAATAACAGAAAAATAACAGACAAATTTTCAAAAACTTGGAAACTAAAGAACACACAAATATTTCATGGCTCAAAGAAATTTCAAATAAAAATTTAAAAATATACAAAACTCAATGAAATTTAAAATACAAGTTACCAAAATGTGTGAGATGCAACTAAAGCAATGCTATAGGGAGATCTCAATTCACTACTCACAGAACTAGAAAAAAAAAAAAAATAAGGAAAATAAACCCAAGTCAAGCAGAAGGAAGAAAATAATAAGAGCAAAATCAATAAAATTGAAACTAGAAAAACACAGAAAATCAGTGAAACAGATCTTTGGAAAAGATCACTAAAATCAATAACCTACCACTGCAAAAGATAAAAAGGGAAGACATAAATTAATACAGTATCAATAATGAAACAGGTTATCCCTCAAGACTATTCAAACTACTATTACCCTGACACCAAAACCAAAGATAGCACAAAAAAAGAAAACTACAAACCAATACTATTCCCATGGAATACTATTCAGCAATATAAAAAAGAAAAAACGGCTGATACACACAATTTGGATCTCAAAGGAATCTTGCTGAGTGAAAATGTAAAAAGTTACGTTACATACTGTATGATTCCATTTATACTTTTTTTTTTTTTAAAGAGATAGGGGCTCTGCCTCCTGAGTAGCTAGGACTGTAGGCATGCACCATGCCCAATTAAATTTTTAAAAAAAATTTGTAGAGACAGAAATGTTGTTAGAGTGTTATTTATATAACAAAAATATAGAAGTGGAAAGATTAGTGGTTGCCAAAGGTTAGGGATAGGGCTGGGACAAAATAGTTGTGAGTATAAAGAGACAGCATAGGGAGACTAGTAGTGAGGGATTAATTCCATATCTTTATTACAGTGGTTATAAGAAGCTACACATGTAATAACATTGCATCTGTATACGCACATAAATCATTGCTTGTGAAACTGGTGAAACAAAAATAAACCCTGTGGCTTGTATCAATGTTTATTTTCCATGCTTATTGTACTATAGCTATTCAAGGTATTACCACTGGGGGAGGATGACTGAAGAGTGCAGAGGCACCACCTTGTACAAGTTTTTGCTGGAGTGCAGTGGCATGCTCACTGTCACCACAGCCTCAACCTGCTGGGCTCAGGCGAACCTTCTGTCTCAGCCTTCCAAGTAGCTGGAACTACAGGAGTGAGCCACCATCTCCAGCTAATTTTTTGACTTATTGTAGAGACGAGGCTTCGCCAAGTTGCCAGGCTGGTCTCAAACCCCTGGGCTCAGGCAATCCTCTCACCCCGGCCTCCGGAAGTGCTAGGATTACAGACCTGAGCCACTGTGATCGGTATGAGCGGCATGAAAGAGAAAATTGGGACTCCTATCTCGCAGCCCCATGTAAACTTCAAAACATACAGCTGAAAGTCAACAAATAATACAGATGCATAAATAGAATCTTTTTTACAGTTGACTGTAACTATTAAATATGTATCAGTCCCATTTTTCTCCAGAATAACATGTTGACAAGTAACTGTTTTCTATTTCATGATTTGATAATGTTGAGCTGGAGTCTCACTCTGTCACCCAGACTGGAATGCAGTGGCCGCTCCCGGCCACTGCAGCCTCCAACTACTGGGCTCCGACGATCCTTCCGCCTCAGCCTTCCAAGTAGCTGGAACTACAGGCGCGCGATACCATGACCAGCTAATTTTTTGATTTATTGTAGAGATGAGGTCTCGCCAATTTGCCCAGGCAGGTCTCGAACGTGTGGGCTCAGACAATCCACTCACCTCAGCCTGCCAAAGCACGGGATTATAGGCTGAGCCACTGAGCTCAGCCAAACTTTTTTTTTTTTGTAGTTTTCATTTGCAAAGTCCTTTTCACCCTTTTTCATCTGACTTTAACAAGACTTGAAAAGTATGCAATGCAATCAAAATAATAAGAAAATGAAAGTCAACGATTTTCAGAATCTTTGTTCAAGGTCATAAGAATTTACATGGCAAAATAAATTCTATAGTCTTGTGACTCCTAGTCCAATATTTTTCAGTCACCTATTGCTTTGAAATATTATGCAATACTAAAGAATCCAAAAAACAAATTTTAAAATATTATAGGAGACAACCCAAGTCCTATTTGAGTATTTGCTATTTGAATGACTGCATTCTAACCCATGAGATTCTTCTCAAATTTGTGCAACTGAGTCACAAAATCAAGCTTACATGATGAATATAACATCTATCACTATTTATGAAGAAATATAAAAACTAAAGCACACACTACACTCATGATGAACTTGCTGAATTATCTTTACTTGGAAAAAAGCACACAAAATTTTTCACAACTCCTTTGCTGCCTCTAAGTTATTGACTTCGACATCAAACTTTATTGTAATTATACACACAAAAAACTTTTAAAATGTGCCAGAAAGCAATTTTCAGCCTCTAGACATCAATTAAATCCAATAACTTCACAAATTTGTACCAACTACTTACAAACACTAAATACACTCATTAAAAATAACGTACTTCCCTCTGGTTGAAGTATACTTAAAGTAGATATTAAGCACTTAATCCCAAATATATAATGGTAATGCTACAAGTGACAAAATTCTGAAAGATCAAAGAAAGTCCCCAGACTGAAGGGCTTAGATTAACAGAACACAAAATATTAAAATAAAAAATTTTAGAGGGGCATCCATTGTGTTGCCTTGAATCCTATACACTGGGAAGAAGGACTTTAGCAGGTCCACAGGCCTTCCATCCTTAGATGGAAAAATGGGAAAACATACAACAGAGGCACTCCTACTTAGTGTCAGAAAGAAGTTTAAAAAAAAAAAAAAAAACCCGATGTGGATAAATATTATGGAGACTTTTCTAAATGTTCTGGTTTCTTTTTGTTGCATGTCTCTTTCTCCATGGGGATTTACTAGTAGAATTAGAATGGCTAAAAATTATAGGTCAGAGGATGGACTCTAAACTATCCCAATGTTTTGCACACAGTTCACAAAGCAGGTGTTCAGTACCCACTACAAGGGAAGACATAAATTAATGAACCAAGGATTAGAGTTCAAATCTGAGTCCTATCTTGTGAGGGGAGAAAAAAGTTAAAGGGTGAGAGTTAACAGTTAAGGCCTTACTGATGAATAAAAGGCGATATGAGCGGAGCGCAGTGGCTTACACTTCTAATACCAGCACTTTGGAAGGCGAAGCGGAGAGACTGCTTGAGCCCAGGAGTTCAAGACTAGCCTGGGCAACATAGCGAGACCTCGTCTCTACCAAAAAAAAAATTAGCCAGGCGTAGTAGCGGCGCGCGCCTGTAGTCCTAGCTTTCTTGGGTGCAGAGAGCCATGATCATGTCACTGCCCTCAAGGCTGGGCGACAGACTGAGACTCCGACTGGGGTTAGGGGTTGGGAATCGAAGTGAGCACTAGACGTCTGCTGCAGAGAACATTCCCTACCCAGATTTTGACCTCTCCTAGCACTTCTTCCGGGCGGGTTGTCCAACGTCTTTGCCCCTACTTCTCAAAGTGAGTGCCGTAAGACTCCCCCACAGGTGGGCTGCCCTTGGGGGTACAAATGGTGCGTTCCCAAGCTCAGGGGAGCGACTGCCCAACCAAGCAACTCAAGGGGCTCCCAGGCCAAGGGCTCTGAAAGCTCGCTACTATCCGTCAGGCCAGGGGAAGCGGAGGCTCTGTGAGGAGGAAGCACTCTGGCTCCAGATCCCGCGTGCCAGCCCACCCCGCCTTTCTTGGGCAAAGTCACACTGAGCACCGAGAGCAGTACCTCACCTGTCCGCCTAGAAGGAGGGCGGCTCTACCGGAGAGTCCTGGGAAGGCGGCCAGGAAGCGGAAGTCCCTTTTTTCCAGTGACGTCACAGCGCCGCGCCGCGCCGCGCGCTGCTCCAGGAAACCGATTCCTTTAGGGCCGCTGGCTCTCGGGGCTTGGGGACTTCCGACCCTGGCGTGAGGCCGGTAGTCCATATTTATTGAGACTTCCCGGAGGGTGCGGGGGTTTTGTCTTTTCTCTCGTATGAATCATATCCACCTCTTGTCTGTCATTCTTGATGTACTCCTGGCTTCTCATACCTTCTCACTTGTTCTCCGTCCTCCCCCCTCCTCCTCTGCCCATTTCCTCCTTTCTCCATTATCGGTTGCATTTCTTCCTTTCCCCACAAACGTACACAGGAAAGTTGATTCTCAGTTGACCCTGTTCACTGCTATTAATATAACCAACCTCTGATATTCTGCATATTAGGAAAATGCTGGATGTCTGTGCCAGAGGTATTATTTCAAACGTAACCACATCAAAACTCCAAGATGTCAACCTCAATAACAAGATTCAGACCATATGATTAAATATTGAGTTTATTCGAGTGTGTTGGGGCTCAAAACAATACCCCCAAATAAGTTGCCTCAACAGCAGCTGCAGAACCAAAAGTTTTTCTTGCATCCTCTCTTGTCTGCCTGTCCCATTCTCCCCTGAGGCTAGTCATAGAAACTAAAATCCCTCTTCCCCAAGGCGGAGCATACAACTCAAAATCTCGTTTCCTGAAAACAGCCATAAAACCTAAAAATATTTGGCATAAAAACTGGCCTTGAGGAAATTATCTGACCTATCTTGTTTGGTTGTAGGTTATAAGACCCTCCCTCATTTCCAAAGAAGTCCCTGCCCCACATCCAGAGGGAAATAAGACATCCTCAGAATGGCCAAGGAGAATCTAGACAGACAGTTCTTGTTGTGTTCTCCCACTCGATCTATTAGCATTGGCTCGTTCTCTTTTTGTCCAATTATATTTCTACGCAACTGTCCATACTTTGTTGAACCTAAGCATAAAAAGACAATTTCTTCTGTATCTTTGGGTCTTCATTCTACACATTACAGTACATAAGTTTGTATACCTCTTCTCTATTAATCAGTCTTTGTCATGTCAGTGATTTAAAGGAGGAAAGTTAATTTATAACAAAAGGTCAGTAATTAAAAGATCATGCTTCATGACTCCATCTTCAAAGTTAACCTTCCTCAGGGCCAAATAACTTTTAGAGACCTCAAATAGACTATTCATTTTCTTTCACAAAGGTAAAGTTTACATCCATGTTGTGAACTGTTGTATCCTCAGCACCTGGCACATAGTAGGTGATCAGTGTATATCTCTCCAAACTGCACTATAGTGGATGTAACAGTCTTATGGCCAGAGAGACAAGCAGACAAGTAAACTTGAAAATCATCAATGACTCTCACTCATGCATAGAAAAGAAGCCTTGCCCCTTTTGTATTCTACATCACAGTAACAGGCACCACCATCCTTCCAGTTGTTGGAAGTAGACTGGTACCTCTTCTTTGTCACCTCCCCTCTGTGGTCAGTTCTACTTCCTAAACATAATTGGTAGCACATAATGAATTTAGAAAAAGCCAATCACCATGCTAAGAGCTTTTCATGAATGAGCACACTTTTTATTTTAATTTTTAATCCTCACAACCATTCAATGAGGTCAGTATTAACAGAGTCTGGAAACAGACAAATACATAAAAATAAATGGTTTATTAAATTACAGTGATATTACGTGATATGTACAAATGTGTTGTCCCTCATTACCAAAGTACACGGTTCAATGCATGTGTAAAATTCCAATGAGCACGGTTCACTAATGCAGTATTTGTTTCAATCTTGGCATATGAATCTGCGTCAAGGAATTTATGCCTCTGATTTTATTAAGGCTGTGCCAGAAAAAATAACCAAGATGGCTCAATCTTTAAAAAAAAAAGAAAGAAAGAAAAAAAATTTTCCAGACCTTTTGACCACTCAGTATTATTGTCTCCATTTTACCCATAGTATAAATGAGGCACAGAGAAATTAAGTAACTTGCCTAAGGTACCTTGGCAGAGCCAAGCTTTCCTACCATATACTACTACTATATACTACTACCCTATATGCTACATCAGGGGTCCCCAATTCCTGGGCCATGGACTAGTATAAGACCATGCTGTAGGAAACAGGTAGCACAGCAGGAGGTGAGCAGCAGGTAAGTGAGCAAAGCTTCTTTGGTATTTACAGTCATTCCCCATTGCTTGCATTACTGCCTCAGCTTTGTGCTCTGTCATATCAGTGGAGGCATTAGATTCTCATAGGAGCGCAAACCCTGTGGTGAACTGCACGTGTGAGGGTTCTAGGTTACACTCTCATTATGAGACTCTCTAATGATCTGAGGTGGAGCTGAGGCGATGATGCTGGTGCTAGGGAGCAAATACAGGATAACATTATCAGGGAAGTTTGACTGCCCAGAGACCATAATAAATCAATTGCTTGCAGACTCATATCAAAACTCTATCAGTGAGTGGGAAGTGAGTTGATGTACATCAATTGTACAGCTGCATCTGGAGGAAGGCTTTAAGTCAGAATCCAACACTTGTTTTAGTCTGTGTGTGGCCTGCCCATTATTTTATTTACCACTTCTGCCTGTGCCTCTTTTCTGCACTGTGCATTTGTCTCAGTCACAGTTTTGGTAAGCCCACAAGTTAAACCTAGCCAAAATGATTTTTTAAAAAGTCGCCTGGGCATGGTGGCTCAAGTCTATAATCCCAGCATGCTGGGAGGCCAAAGTGGAGGGATTGCCTGCGTTCACGGTTTTGAGAATAGCCTGGGCAACTTGGCAAGACCCCATCTCTACAATAAATTAAAAAAATTAGTCGAATGTGTTAGCACACACCTGTAGTTCTAGCTACTTAGAATGCTGAGGTGGAAGGATCACCTGAGCCCAGCAGGTCAACACTGGGGTGGTCATGAGCATGCCACTGCTCTCCAGCCTGGGTGACGGAGTGAGACTCCAACTCAAAAAACAAACAAACAAAAAAATGTCACTGGCGAACTTCTTTGGAAAGGGGGAAAGACCCAATGATGAGACAGCAGAAGACTCTAAAACTGCCAAGAAAAAGAAAGTTGCATTTAAAAGAAAATACCAAGAGTTCTACTTAAATTACAGGTTCATTGCAATAGGTGATTCACATTCTCCAAGCCCACTTGGAGACCAGCTAGCCAATGAAACCATGAAACCTTCAAAACTGCTTCACCACGTGGGGACCAAACACCCTGCGTTAAAAGACAAGTCTTTGGATTTTTTCTAAAGGAAAAAATGTGAACATAAAGAACAGAAGCAGTTATTGAAGGCCATCACTTCATAAAATGTGTCTGCACTGAGCACATCATTCTTAGTGGCTAACTGCATTGCTAAATTTAAGAAGTCCTTTGCTGTTGGTGAAGAGTTGATCCTGCCTGCTGCTAAGGTCACTTGTTGTGAACTTTTAGAAGAAGCTGCAGTTCAAAAGGTGGCATGTGTTCCTCTTTCAGCTAGCACCATAACTCGATAAATTGATGAAATAGCAGAGGCTGTTGCACAATTATTAGAACAGATTAATGAATTACCATGATTTTTAAATTATTATATTTCAGGAAAACTGAATTGGTCATTTTGTGTTGGATTATGCTGGCTGCCATGACTGGTTGACTTTCTGGTTTCACTACTTGTGTTAAAAAGATTCCTTCCGAGAGTGAGTCTACGCACTATGTCACTCGTAAAGAAATGCTGGCTAACCCAAAAATGTCACCTGAACTTAACAATATTTTGCAAAATGTGATTAAAATTATCAGCCACATTGAAGTACATGTCTGTTCACGCAGCTGTGTGAGAAGATGGATGCAGAGCACATTTGTCTTCTCTTGTACACAGAAGTGAGATGGCTTCCTTTTTCGTTTAATTTTCTGTTTCTTTTAATTTTTTTTATCTTAAAGATGTGGGGTACAATTCAGGGTTAGGTATACAAATGTTCATTATGCAGGCTCCCTTGTTGATGAGGTGTGCCCCCCCTCTTCCCCAGGCATATTCCTACTACTGCTAATTCTGCTAACCCGCTCCCCTCCTAGCAGTTTCCCACTACTGCCAATCCTTTTCTTATATATTAAGTCTGCTTATGAGTGAGAACATTTGATACTCAGTTCTTTGTTTCTGTGAAAGATCACTCAGTATTATAGACTCTAGGACCATCCAGGTTGTTATGAAGTTCAAGATTTTGTTCTTCTTCATGGCTGCGTATATTCCGTTGTGTATATGTATCATATTTTTTTATCCAGTCCTCTTTTGATGGACAGCACAGTTGGTTCCATGTTCTTGCTACTGTGAACAATGCTGCAATAAACATATGTGTGCAGGTATTTTTTTAATAGAATGATTTGAGTTCTTCTGGGTATATTTGCAGTAGGGGGATTGTGGGGTCATATGGAAGGTCAATTTTTAGATCTTTTAGGAATCACCACACTGTTTTCCACAGAGGCTGTACTAGTTTATAATCCCACTAACAGTGTAGAAGTGTTCCCTTATCATTGCATCCTGTCCAGCATCTGTTGTTTTTTGAGTTATTGATTATAACCATCCTGACGGGAGTCAGGTGGTATCTCAGTGTTTTAATTTGCATTTCTTTGATGACTAATGAGGCTAATCATTTTTTGATGTATCCGTTGGCTGCTCATGTGTCTTCTTTTGAGAACTGTCAATTCATATCTTTTGCCACTTTGTCATGGGGCTGTTTGTTTTTTTCTTTTCGGCATGTTTGAGTTTCTTGTAGATCCTAGATGTTAGGCCTTTGTCAGACATACAGTTGGCAAATATTTTTTCCCAGTCTGTGGGCTGTCTCTCTGCTCTCTTGATGGTTTCTTTGGCTTTGCAGAAGCTTGTCAGTTTGATGAGGTCCCACTTGTCTATCTTATCTCTTATGTCATGGGCACTTGGGTTTTTAATCAGGAATTGGTTGCCAGCTCCAATTTCCATAAGGATGTTTCTGTATTTTCTAAGGTTCTTATAGTTTGAG